CAAGTCTCCACTGGTAGCTGAATCCGAGTAAATCTACAGTACGCCGCTAGGATCAACTCCGAAATCAGCACAAGAAGTGCAGAGTGTAGTATGAGTACAACCGACCCCATGTACTCTGTAAGTGCCAAGCCTAACCTCAACGAAGTAGTGACGAGGCTAAGGAAGGATACTTACATTAACATGTTCGCAATAATAGTAATAACAACAATAATGAAATAAAACATGTAACTCATTTCAACAGTTAAAACCAACTCGGCCGTCATAACCAATTATTATTTCGATCAATTTCCGTTGCGTCATGCAACCCTCTCCAACAATATAATTTTTCAATAAATTTCTAATGCGCCGTGCAACCCGCTACAACAATATAAACTTAAAATATAATCCGTTGTGGCGTGCAACCTGATCCCCCAATATATTCATTTTTATTTCCGTTGTAGCGTGCAACCCGCTCCAGCAATATAAAATTAACGACCTTTGATTGTAATAAAAATTCTCCAATAAATACCACATTCAATAAGAAATTATTAGGCAACAAAGCATACAATGATTATAATTTTTTCAGGAAGCAAGTAATGATAAGTAGCAATTAATTGTGGAAAATCAGGGAGAAAATAGGCAATTTCATATTTAATATGCTAAATGTCAAGTAGCAATTAAGACATATAAATCAAATAAGCATGTAACAATTATTGCATGAATTCAAGAATTAATATTTGACAAGGAATATGAGAGAAACAATTATTATAACAATTAATTCGTATCTTAAAATAATTTATGATATTTAAATAATTATGCAAACAAATAAATTTGATGACGTATAGACACTCGTCACCTCGCCTATACGTCGTTCACATGAATTTCATATAACAAATCATTCAAGGGTTCTATTCCCTCAAGTCAAGGTTAACCGCGACACTTACCTCGCTATGCAACCAAATTCATGATTCCAATAAATCTTTGCCTCGCGAATTTATGTCCTAAATCCTCAAATCTAGTCATAAACAATTCAATTTACTCAATACAAAGAGTAGAAATTAATTTCATATGAATTTACTAATTTTTCTGATTAAAATTCGAAATTCATCTCAAAAATTGACATTGGGGCCCACGTATCGAATCTTGGAAAAACTTACGAAATCCGAACACTTGTTCTGAGACGAGTCCAACCACACAAAAATTACCAAATTTCGACGTCAAATGGACCTTCAAATCTTAAATTTTTGTTTTTTGGAAAGTTTTACAAAAATTCCAATTTCTTCCATCTAAATCCGAAATAAATGATGAATATAGACATGGATTTATGAAATATAATCACTTTTGGTTATAGAATACTTACCCAATTCAAAGTCGTGAAAAATCCCTTTGGAAGCGCCTAAATCCGAGACCCAAAACTCAAAAATGAGTAAAGATAGCTAACTTCCGAATTTATGGGTTCTATCCAGCATTTTCACATCTGCGGTTTCCGCTTCTACAAGGTATGGCTTGCTTCTGTGAGCCCGCATCTGTGGTCTAATATCCGCAGGTGCGATTACACCAGAAGGCCAAAATTTCAGATTTTCCTTAAGTCCAATGTTTGATCCGTTAACCATCCGGAATCCACCCGAGGCCCCCAGGACCTCAAACAAATACACCAACAAGTCCTAAAATATCATACGAACTTAGTCAAGACCTCAAATCACATCAAACAACGCTAAAATCATGAATCATACTCCAATTCAAGCTTAAAGAACTTAAATATTTTCAACTTCTACATTCAATGCCGAAACCTATCAAATCAAGTCCGATTGACCTCAAATTTTGCACACAAGTAATAAATGACATAACAGACCTATTCAAATTTCCAGAATCAGATTCCGACCACGATATCAAAAAGCCAGATCCGTGGTCAAACTTTGGAAATCTTTAGCCTTTAAATTCCTAGTTTCCGTTAAATGGCCATAACTTGAGCTAGGGACCTCCAAATTACATTTCGGGCATACGCCCAAGTCTCAAATCACGATACGGACCTACCGGAACTGTCAAAACACTGATCCGAGTCCGGTTGCTCAAAATATTTACCAAAGTTAACTTAATTGAGTTTTAAAGCTCTATTTCACATTTTAATCAATTTTTCATATAAAAACATTCCGAAAAATTATACGGATTGCGCATGCAAGTCGAGGAATGATGAATAGTGCTATTTGAGATCTCAGAACATAGAAATAATTATTAAATTTAAATATGACCTTTTGGGTCATCACATTAAACCTCAAATAGCACCATTCAGCTTTCCTCGACTTTCATGCGTAGTTCGTAATTTTCCGGAAAGGTTTTATGTGAAAAATTGATTAAAATGTGAAACAATGCTTCAAAACTCATTTGAGTTGACTTCGGTCAATATTTTGAGCAAACAGACCTGGATCAGTACTTTGACAGTTCTGGTAGGTCTGTATCATGATTTGGAATTTGGGTGTTTGCCCGAAATTTAATTCGGAGGTCCCTAGCTTGAGTTATCGCCATTTGTTGAAAATTGGAAGTTTGAAAATTTATAGATTCCAAAGTTTTACCACAAATTGACTTTTATTGATATCGGGGTCGGAATCCAGTTCTGAAAATTTTGATAGGTCCGTTATGTCATTTATGACTTGTGTGCAAAATTTGAGGCCAATCAGGCTTGATTTGATAGGTTTCGGCATCGAATGTAGAAGTTTAAAATTCTTAAGTTCCTTAAGCTTGAATTGGGGTATGATTTGTGGTTTTAGCATTGTTTGATGTGATTTGAGGTTTCTATTAAGTTCGTATGATGTTTTAGGACTTGTTTGTGTATTTGGTTGAGGTCTCTGGGGCCTCGGGTGGATTTCAGATGGTTAACGGATCAAAATTTGTACTTAAGGAAAATCTAAAATTTTAGCCTTCTCGTGTAATCGTACCTGCGGATTTTTGACCGCAGGTGCGAGCTCGCAGAAGCGAGCCAGGGCTAGCAGAAGCGGAAGGCTCATCGCAGAAGCGCGACCGCAGAAGCGATGCAATGGTTGCAGATGCGGCCTGGGCTAAGGAGGCCTTGGACCGCAGAAGCGGACGCTTCTTCACAAAAGCGAGCCAACCACAGAAGTGACCTCCACCCTCGCATCTGCAAGACCGCAAATGCGGCCAAGTGCATCGCAGATGCGAAAACACTGACAGTGTTAAAAATAGAGGGGTTCCGTGATTTTTCTCATTTTTGGACATTTCAAGTACGGGTTGGGGCAATATTTGAGCAAGAATTCATGGGAAAACTTGAGGTGAGTCACTTGTGATCATTTTTAGTTAATAATATTGAATTATCATCGATTATTCCGACTAGATTTCGTGTTTCTGAGGTGAAATTCGATGATTTGGGTCTAGGGATTTGAAAATACGATTTGGGGACTTGAAGGTTGAGTTAATGTCGGAATTTGGTAAAATTTGTATGGTTGGACTCGTGGTTGAATGGGCGTTCATATTTTGTAACTTTTGTTGGGTTTCGAGATGTGGGCCCCACAGGCGATTTTTGAGTTAAATTTCAGATTTTAATTGGAATATTTAGTATTTTCATATAGAATTGATTTCTATAATTCGTGTTGAGTATATTGAATTGTTTGTGACTAGATGCGAGGCATTTAGACACCAATTCGCGAGGTAAAGGTTTATTGGAATCTTGAGTTGGTTGCAAATCGAGGTAAGTGTCGTGGTTAACCTTGACTTGAGGGAGTAGGACTTATTTGTCTATTTGCTTTGTGACTTAATGTGCGGGTACAAAGTATATGTGAGGTGACGAGTACTTATGCGTTGTGATTGAGTCAAAGAAAGTGGGTGGAGTTTGTTTATTGTGAATAATTGCCTATTAAATTAAGATATTTCTGCTTAAGTTATTATTGGTTATTTGATCAATTTTTATGAGATTATAGCTAGTTTAATTATTGTTGAATATTTTGGAAGGTGAATTTATATTATTATTTTCATGGTAAGGAAGAGTGTAAAAGTACGAAGGGTGATGCCGTGCCATTTATATTATTTATATTATCCTTGCCATGGTGAGAAAGAGTGTAAAAGTACGAAGGGTGATGCCGTGCCATTTTCAAAGAGTGTAAAAGCACGATGGGTGATGCCGTGCTAGAAGAGAGTTAAGCACGAAGGGTGATGCCGTACCAGAAGAGAGTTAAAGAATGAAGGGTATGCCGTGCCAATCTTATTATTTATTTATAAATTTATGGGAAGGATGAGAGTGAAAGCACGAAGGGTGGTACCGTGCCATTTCATATTACCAGTTGCTCATTTTATTGTTGATGAATTAATTGGCTGCTACGCGACACCTCTCCTGCTGAAATTACTATATCATCCCCCTTTGCATGTTCCCTCCCAAATTTATAAATTGTTATTTATTGTGCTATTATTACTTTGTATTTGTATATACTTGTACAGGTTGTTTACGTACGTGTCTTGTCATAGCCTAGTCACTACTTTATCGAGGTTAGGCTCAATACTTACGGAGTACATGGGGTCGGTTGTACTCATACTACACTTTACACTTCTTGTGCAGATTTTGGAGTTGGTACCAGTGGCATACTATAGACTTGCTCGGATTCAGCTATCCAGAGGAGACTTGAGGTATAATTGCACAACGTCCGTAGTTCTGAAGTCCCTTTCTATCTTATCTTAGCTGTGTATTATTTTTCAAACAACTTGAATTTTATTCATACCTTTATTTGTATTATTCTAGTAGCTCGTGCACTTATGACACCAGATTCAGGGATTTATTTTGATGTTTCGGTAGTTACGGTCTTCCGCACTTTATTTCAGTTATTGACTTCCATTTAATTTAATTTGTTTAAAAATGGTTAAGATTATTCTAACGTTGGCTTGCCTAGCAAGTGAAATGTTAGGCGCTATCACGGTCCCGCAGGTGGGAATTTCGGGTCGTGACAATAACAACATCCAAAACATCAATGTGGTTTCCAAACTTAAGCTCATGTAAGGCAATGCTGAGCTTGTCAAACAGCTCAGTCAACATGAAACCATAAGGCATAGCATGCTTGGGGTTTGGAAGTATCTGCAGCTCTTGCCATGTGCTGAATCATCAGGCTAGGTATATTGATAGGTCTACCAGTGTCGAGCAGCTCCATCACAACCATGTCCAGCAAAGTAGCTTTATGCCTTCTCTCAGACCTCTGAAGAATGCAGTAGTTGACAAACTGAAACAATAATTTGTGTAAGGGAGTCATATCAGTCTTGTACACCTTTTGGGGAGCATCCAATTCAAACTTTTGGGAGAACTTCCTGCTGACCACAACGCCAGGGTCAACATCATTATCTATGGCTGGCTACTTCTTTTTCAAGTAATTGTCAAATCCCAAGGAAGAGATATTCAGAAGCATCCCCAGCTCCTCAGCATCAAACTCCATCTCAAAGCCCCCTACCTTACTCTTGACTACCTTCCCATCAAATTTAAAGTTTGACAAACATGTGCTTCCACCTGCTCCGGAGTTGCCTATTTGGTTAGTATGATTTTGACATGCATTGATTGGTATGGCAGGGCCTTGTCCCTACCTTTATGATATTTATGTACTCTTAGAGACTTGTAGACACAGGTCATGTATATGGATACTTGTATGGATTTATCGGCCTATGTTTTGAGTGTACAAATGATCATGTCAGCCTTATAGGCCCGTATGTCATGTGTATAAGTTTCTATATCATGTTGGGTCTCCCTATGTCTAGTATTCCCTTATGTTTTATTCTAGTTATCTCATGATGGCACTTCTGGCCCATTTACCTATGATTGTGTGATAAGAAAGATATGTTACATTGATACTCAGTTGAGTAAGGCACCGGGTGCCCGTGTGGCTCTCCGATTTGGGTCATGACAAAAGTGGTATCAGAACAGTTTTGTCCTAGGGAGTCTACAAGTCGCGTCTAGTAGAGTCTTGTTTATGGGTATTTTGTGCACCACACTTATAATCAGGAGGCTACAGGGCATTTAGGACTGTCACTCTTTCTTCTTACTCTAGATCGTGTGGTAGAGCTCAGTTGTAGGAATTCAAACTCCTAATTCTATTTTATTTGTAATACAACGATACCTACATATAGAAAGACAGCTAGTAAGAGATTGACTATGGCTGTGGAAGAGTTGAGTCAGAGGAACTCGATTTTGCATCAAGATTATTATGAGTAAATGTGAGGTCTTCAGTAGATCATATGTGTACTAAGACGTGTAAGCTTCTTGATAAGGAGACCTAAGGCATGAATATCTATCCACCCATATGGTTTAAAGCAACGACAGAATCAAAAGGTAGATATAAGTTTCAACAAGTAAAAGAAGTAAGGTGAAGAATGGTACGAGGTACCCAATTAGTGAAGATTATCAGTATTTACAATTCAGGCAGAGAAATATAAGCATTTGGAGAGTTACCTTCAATTGTAACAGAGGTATGTACAATTGGCCACACCCATCTCAGTTATGCTCTATGGGAGCCAACGGATATAGTTTAAGAGAAGGACGGGATATCAGGATCCAGTTGGGGTTAGAATAACCCAAAATGGTGGATGGATTGTTAGCGTTAGCTGACATTTCTGAAGGATATTACAAACACTTTAATAATTCTCCTTGTGAGACACCCATATGGTGCATTCTAGAAAAGTACATCTACATATGAATACTAGAATGTTCAAAAATATTACAAAGATAGGCATTTGAATCCTAGAAGGGATAAATATTTGCCTTAGTATGGCTCCCGTCCCTAGTAAAGATAGAATGTTAGGTGCCCCGAAGAGCTGATGGATGGAGTAAGGGGAGCTAAAAGCAAAGGAATGTTTTGTTAAAGCTTTCAGAATAAAGTAATAGACAGAAATATTAACAGGAGAATAAGAAAAGAGTAAATGAAGCACTATGAGCATGATGTGATAAGTGAGTGATAACGGCAAATCAAAATATGACAGGATGACAGAGTCTATAGCCAAGTGAAGGAAAAGACAAGAGGTGTCAAGCCTTGAGGCAATAAAAGAGTATAAGCCATAAAGTCATATCCCCATTTCGAGAAATGAGTTGGTGACTCCAACGTGATTACTAGAATGAAAAGTTAGACCCCCGGAGTAATAGAAATCAGTATGGACTAGTGAATAAGATAAACTGAACATGAATTAGGGACCGAAGGATTTTATAATAGTCAGCATCATGAGAATTTCAGAGATAGCATTCCAGCAATAATAGAATGGACAACAAAAGAATAACCTTTAAAGTTCATTCAGGAAGACGCTTCCCTAAAGCAAGCACTGTGAGCAGAATTAAGATTAAGGGACTAAGTGTGCCACTTATACTAGGTGTCACCCTTGTGAGTAAGAAATTTTGTTATCCTTGATATAGAAGGATTATCGCAAGGCAAGTAAGAGTCAGTGAATATATGAAAAGATGCCAAAGATGTAGAGAGGGGGAAAGATGGTGTGATATGGTATTAAGTAGGAGTTATATGGTTCAGGGAACTATGGAATAATAAAGGAATAATGCGATAAAAATGATAAAAGGATGAGATTGCACTTATTCAAATCCCACAGATAGGTTACGACTCTAGAACATTACGCAAGCACGATGGCAGGGAGGGGCCGTAAAGGTTACTGACCAGGATGTTATTGATAAATAAGTACGAATGAATATTTGATACATAATAAGCCAGTACGAGAGGTAAGTTAAGACAAAGGACATATCCCAAGAGAGATTACGCAGAATATAGATATGAGAATGGACCAACAAGTAGTTAGTAGTTGATTCAGAAAGAGCCTAGTTATGGCTAGACAAGAGGATACAGACAAATCAGCAGATCGTGCAAGATAAACATAGTGAATCCCAATATGGTAAATTCAGTCTCGCAGTTATGACATTGTAATTCTTGAGAAATATTCCGCTAGGAGTTTGGGTAGTTAAAGGTATCGTATTGGTGTTACGAAAATAAAAGAGAGTGCCACTGGGAATACAGTCAAAATATCAGTTCAGAAGCAACCCTACAAGCACAAGGATGTGGAGATAAGTAACTAAGGATAATTATAGGTGAGGAAGAACATCAAAAAAAAATCATCGAGTATACGATGTAATAAGCTCGCAGCTTTACAAGAGTCAGAGGAGTCTAAAACTAGGAGCATTTAGAAGAGATGGAATGCTACCCTGGTGGTATAATAACGATGTAATTGTGAAAGAAAAGAGGATGACATTTAGACATTTGATTGAGTAATAATCTAAAGAAAAGGGATTTCATGAATTGCACGGGACTAAAATACCCCCATAAGATGAATCACATTGGGATGCTATGAAATACAATTATTGAAGTTGATCAGGCAAATCACTTCAAATGTTCCTCGATGCGACGTGAGCCCTAGTGACAATATATTACATAAGAGGTTTCAAGTTATCAGTGGCAGATTGCAGATCAACATTGAGGTGAATCAACAGTGGATGGATAAAAGTTACAAAGTATGAGATGAGATTGGGATCATTCTTAAGATAAACAGTAATGAGAAAGCATTAAAGGACTTAGATTTATACATATAGGATAAGCAACGAGAGTAACCTGGAGTTTGGTAGCAGACCTCAGTAACAATAAACTGAAGTAAGAGTTATGGTATAGTATGCCATACTTAGATTTAGTAAAGCCATGGATACCCAGAGGGACAACTTGTCATAATTCTGTATATGTTCATAAAGTGAGGCCTATAGATTGGCTAAAAGCTGGATGAAAAATGAGAGAACAGTCGCCTAGGTGCACATACATGGACAGAGTCATACAGAGGGCATGATAGAAGGTAGCAATAGTTACAATATTGGAAGAATTCCGACTACAAGTCGTGGGGTGAGAAAGAGGCCTAAAGGGGGGAATGCCCTGCCCTTTGAAATTATTCATAGAACAGTTGCCTAAATGGCAAGGTGAGTATTAAAGTATTTTCAAGAGCTATAGGTTATGAAAATGATAAGTACATTAGTCTACATTCGAGGACGAATGTTCCAAAGGGGGGAATAATATTGCACCCCATGTTTTCATATGTGAAAGTACACCGTAAGTCAATTGATGTAAGCTCATAAATGATATTCTCTTTGAAAGTATATAAAGTGATCTAATGATATTACATACCATATTTCTGTTCAACATACAAATAACTAGGTTGAGGATGAATGCACTTAAATGTGAGAAAGGAAATTTTGGACAAATAAAAATGAGTTGTTTGCTTACCCGGCGTGCCTGCTTCACCAACTTACTTTTTGTCCTACTTGCTTGAGCTACTCGACACATGTCTAAATTATTTAATGAGGATGAGACAGATGTTTCAAAATAGAAAAAGGACCAACATGAATCACCTACTTGATTAAGTAGGTGACAAGTCACCTACTTAGAGCTTTTGGATCGAATTAAAAGGGGATGGAAAAGGATAGAGATGGGCAAGTCTTAGGGCAGCCCAAGACCCATCTACCAAAGCCCATTAGAAAATAATTCATAATTCCTCTCTATATGTTGCAACTTGAAGGAGCTCCAAAATATCAGCCCAAGATCTCTCTCAAAGTTATCCTAGGGTTCAAGACCAAATCCACAACTTGGTAAGGTGATTTCTCTCTTGGAAGATCAAGATCACCTAGTTATCTCTCTACTTTATTGTTTGGGGTAAAGAGCTTATTTGAGCTTGAAGTAAAGCTTAGTTGGATGAGTATTCTTGCATCCAAGGTAAGGCTTATATTCTCCTATATGTATTTAAGATCATTTATGTATATCTAGTTGATTTGATAAAGGAAGCTTGTGAAGTAAGTTGAACTTCATGTTGAAGTGTTGTAGTTTCTGGACTATTTTGGAGTTGAACTCTTGATGTTTTATGGCTGGAAATCAGTAGAAATAACTTAATAATACTATTTCTATTGTGGTTTATGTGTTTGGAAGAAGAGAAGGCTTGGAAAGTGCAAGTTAGAACTTGGTTATTNTACATTCTGGACATGTTGGTCTTGTTTGTGGATTTGAGGAAAATGAAAAGAATAAGGGAAGGTGTTGTCCAAAATTTTGTAGTTGAGCTAGTCGCTCATTTGTGTTGAGTTCTAGCTTCCGAAAGCTTAACAATAGTCCATTATTGTTTGTTGTAGATTGAAGTACTAACGGGCTGAACCGACGTCGTGTGGTTAGGTAAACGACAAAGGTATGTTAAGGCTATACCCCTTCTTTTCTTTTGACATGATCTATATGATACAAACGAAACGAGAAAACGCGCAAGTTTCACAAATGACATTATTCTTAAAAGTACTAGGGGTTCCTATATTCTTGATACCCCATGTGTCGTATTATTCTATCGCCTGTTCATCGGTCTCAGAAAACGCATAAGTTGATAAAGTTTATTTCATGATATTAATCGAAGGCATAATGATTTTATGACATTCCGAGAGATCTTATTGACTTACTTCTCATGCATTGCATTCATTTATACATGTACATTGGCCCATGAACAGATGGCATTATATATGCGTATATTATATGTATATGGGGTATGGGGAAAGGTTATGGCGTTATATACGCATCACCACCTGATCAGCTGGTATACATTGATGATTTCGACAACAAAGGCCGAGAAGATATGATAGGATACCCTCAGAGGCTTGATGATGTTATGTACTCATATACCTATGCATGGTATGATATTTACACACATATGCATGATATTATAAATGTTTCATGAATCACAGAGATATTCAGACTTACGTGTTGAGTTCTTTACACCATATTTCTTTCATGCCTTACATACTCGGTACTTTATTTGTACTGACGTCCCTTTTGCCTAGGGACGATGCATTTCATGCCCGCAGGTCCCGATAGACAGGTTGACAGTCCTCCTAGTAGGCTATCAGCTCAGCGGAAGGTGTTGGTGCACTCCACTTGCTCCAGAATTTCCTATTTGGTTAGTATGATTTTGACATGTATTGATTGGTATGGCGGGGCCCCGTCCCAACCTTTATGACGTTTATGTACTCTTAGAGGCTTGTAGACAGAGGTTATGTATATGGATATTGTATGACTTTATCGGCCTATGTTTTGAGTGTACAAATGATCATGTCGGCCTTATAGGCCTGTATATCTCGTGTATAAGTTTCTACATCATGTTGGGTCTCCCTATATCTAGTATTCCCTTATATTTTATTCTAGTTATCTCATGATGGCTCTTCTGGCCCATTTACCTATGATGCTGTGATAAGAAAGATATGTTATGTTGGTACTCGGTTGAGTAAAACAGCGGGTGCCCGTCGCGGCCCTCCGATTTGGGTCGTGACAGGTAGCAGGTTTGGTGACTTTGGCACCCTTTTTCTTTGGTGTAGCAGACTTTGCTGGCAAGGCAGTGTCAGATTCATCTTCTCCATCCACCTCAACAACAGATTCCACAATTGAAACCTTCTTCTTTGGCTTCTTTGCACTTCTAGACTCCTTAATGATTTATGCATCAATAACCTTTCTTTTACTCCTTGTGAGAGGAGTTCTAGCAGGAGGAACCAATCCTTTCCTTGTTAAGACTGCTGACTTTGTAGATTTCAAAGAGGTCTTCCTAGATTTCTTCCCTACCTTAGATAGTGGCACATCATCTTTATCACTGCTAACTTCTTCATCTCCAGTGAAAGGAGTTAATAGAGACTCAGGTTCTTGAGCCCTATTCTCTTCACTAGTTTCTTCTGAACGGGCTATGACAGTATTTCCAATTGTCATGGAACCTTCAGATTCCTCTCTCACATTTCCTTCTTCTTCCTCACCTCCTTCACTCTCACTTACTTTTTCCTAATCATCACCCTCACTTTCATAAACCTCCTCTTCTTCACTATGATTTTCTTCTTTTGTAGAATCATTAGCATGTTCACCTGTATTATCCTCTATATCACTCTCCTTCTCATCTCCATATGCTCCCTTATTCTCACTCTTTTTTTCTTCATTGGATATGTTTTGAGTATCATGTTCCTCATGACTGTTCACAACTTCTTCTTCTTTTTCACCCCCATCATCTTCCTCATCCTCAGTCCAACTAAAGGAAAGGCCATTAGAAGCCTCCTTTTGCACAGGTTCTTTACTTCCTTACCCCTCAACCACAGGCTCCACAGCCGTTGTATCTACCTCCTTCCCCATATCCCCTGCACCCGTTTCTACAGTGAATTCCTTCACTGGTGGCTTCTCACTCGTGGGTAGGAGAGTATCTAGGGATGTAGCATCTATGGAAGACAACAAAACATCTAATTTAGAGGGAGGATGTTGTACCTGATTAGTAGTAACTAGCACTAATTCCCCCTGAACCACAGATTCCTTGGCTATAATGTTACCCTGCGTAGCAGCATCAGGCACTTTCTTGATAGATTTTCTTGGAGTAGCTTTGACATTTGTGAACTTAGAGGTAATTGTCGCAGGAAGCTCAGGTGCATGGGTGGTTGTTTTTGGAGGAGGGGATACAGTGGAGGTAAGAATGATATGAGCATCATGAATAGTAGGAAAATGGGATGATAATGTAGGTATAGTGGAGGATATCGAAGGATAGGGAGTAGGTGTGGGTGTGGGTTCCCTTGATGGCTTGGTATTTTTCTTGGATTTGGGCTTTATGATTTTGGTTTTTTCTTTAGCCTTGGTTGATGATTTGGTTTTAGAGGGTGTTTGACTGGCTCTAGGCATGGTGATCAGGTGAGAGACTTGAAGAAGAGAAAGAGACAATTAGTTCTTGATGATTTCTTTTCGATTCTTGCTTAGGGTTTGAGAGAAATAGCGAGGACTGAGAAGCTGATTATATGAGCCTTTTAAACTCGTTACTCCTGATTTGACTGGAAGAGAGAAGGTGACCAAATTTGAGTTCTAATGGGACTTTTATAACAGTTACTTTGACGGTTAGGATTTTAGGAGTAATTGATCTCTAATTACACTAGGACCCCCCCCCCCCTTACTCTTTGATTAGAAGACGATTGGAAATGATGCCAACGGAATTAGAAGTCTGAGTATAGCAATAATTTTAGAATATAGAGCCTTAGTGACTTAAGATAATATGGAACGTACCTGAGTCAAAGATCTAACTCCTTAGCAAGTCCTTATTTATTTCTGTAATAAAGCTTCAGCACTTCATATTAGTATCATGCAACACAGTTATTAGCCAGATTTTCAAAGCATGTGTGTGAGCTTAACATAAGCACAAAGCTGAATTAAACATAATGTACTTAATTATCTACATCTTATTATGCATTTTCTAGCCAATCACTGGGGTTCAACTTAGTGGGAAGAGTTGATTAGACCTAGTTCTAGTCTATTCCTTTCAAAGTGAGCTCTACTCAGAACTGTAGTAAAAATATCAGCAATTTGATCTTCAGTTTTACAAAAGTTAATTGAGATACCCCTTTTCAACATTATCTCTGAGAAAGTGATGTCTAATGTCAATGTCATTGGTTCTCTTGTGCTGACATGGATTTTTACCAATGTTTATAGCACTAGTGTAATCACAAAAAATAGGAACACAATCAACAAATATACCACAGTCACTTAGTTGTTGTCTTATCCATAGCAACTAAGCACTGCAGGATGCAGCTGCCACATATTCAGCCTGAGCCGTAGATAAGGCCACTGAGTTTTGTTTTATGGTTCCCCAAGACACCAGACAAGAACCTAGAATATGAGTTGTTCCTGAAGTGCTTTTCTTGTCAACATAAAAGCCTGCATAGTCAGCATCAACATAATCAATTAGATCAAAGCTATACCCTCTGGGATACCATAAAAAGATTTCAGGAGTCCGTTTGAGATATCTTAGTATCCTTTTGACAACCTTCAGGTGAGATTCATTGGGATTTGCCTGAAATCTTGCACATAGTCCGACATTGAACACTATATCGGGCCTGCTTGCTGTGAGGTACAACACTGACCCAATCATTCCTCTATCTAGTTTATGTTCTACACTTTTTCCTTCTTCATCAAGGTCCATCATTTTTGCAATTGCAATGGGTGTGTCAATGGACTTAGAGGAATCCATGTTGAACCTCTTCAGTAGTTCTTGGATATATTTCTAATGATGTATCATGGTTCCAGTAGGTGTTTTCTTGATTTGCAGCCCCATAAATAAGTTCAATTCACCCGTCATGCTCATTTCAAACTCATTTCCCACCATATCAGCAAATTCCTTGTACATTGCTTCATTGGTAGCCCCAAAGATAATGTCATTCACATACACTTGCACAATCAGAATATTCTCCCCCCTGCTCCTTAGAAATAGAGTGTTGTCCACCTTTCGTCTTTCAAAGTTGTTGGCTAAGAGGAATTTTGAGAGCCTTTCATACCAAGATCTTGGAGCCTATTTCAGTCCATAAAGGGCTTTATCCAGTTTGAACACATAGTTAGGAAATTCTTCACTTTTAAATCTGGGAGGTTATTTGACAAACACTTTCTCCTTCAGGTAACCATTCAAAAAGGCACTATTTACATCCATCTGGTATAAAGTGAACTCCATGTGGGCAACAAAGGCTATGAGCATCCTTATAGCCTCCATTCTAGCTACAAGTGCAAATGTCTTATCATAGTCAATTCCCTCCTCTTGATTATATCCCTGAACCACCAGTCTGTCCTTGTTCCTTGTGATATTTCCTTGTTCATCCAACTTATTTCTGAACACCTATCTGGTACCTATGACAGTTCTGTTCTTGGGTTTCTGTACCAAGTGCCAGACCTTGATTCTTTTAAACTGATTTAGCTCCTCTTGCATGGCTATGATCCAGTCTGGATCCTTTAGAGCTTCTTTGATGGTTTTAGATTCAACTTGTGAGAGAAATGTTGTGAGTGCACATAGATTTCTTAGAGAAGACTTGGTTTGCACCCCTGCATTTGGATCAGGGATGATATTCTCAAAAGGGTGTGAGCTTTTATGCTTCCATGGTATGGTCTGTATACATAGAGAAGATTCAACCGAGGAGTGACCCAAGGGAGTAGGTTCAGTAGGTGTGAGTTCATTAGTCTTGTCACCAGTTAGAGTAATTATTACTTCTCCTTCTTCCTCATGATCACTGTCAATTTCCTTGTGTTTTTCAGATACATCTTCATCAGATCCCTTTGTATCTCCATCACCAGTGAGTCCTATATCATAATCTTCATCCTGTAGACCTTTCTCAGCCAAATTGTTAGATTCATAAAAAATAACATGAATATTTTCTTTCACACACATATTTCTTTTATTAAAAACCTTATAGGCCTTACTATGTGGAGAATAACCCAAGAAAATTCCCTCATCACTTCTTTCATCAAATTTACCTAGAGCTTCTTTCACATTATTATGCACAAAACATTTGTACCCAAAGGCTCTCAGGTGAGTGGTGGTGGGTTTTCTTCCTCGAAGTAACTCATAGAGAGTTTTCTCAAGAATGGGTCTGACCGCATCTATTTAGTAGGTAGCAAGCAGTATTGATTGTCTCAGCCCAGAAACTCTTAGGCAGTCCACTAGCAATCAACATGGTCCTCCCCATGTCTTCTAAGGAACTATTCTTTCTTTCTACAACCTCATTTTATTGTGGAGTTCTAGGTGCAGAGAAATTATGGTCAATGCCATGTGAGCCACAAAACTCAAGGATTTTGAATTTTCAAATTCAGTTCCATGGTTAGTTTTATACTTAAAACATTACATTCTAGCTTCTGTTGAATCATTCTGGCAAATACACAGAAAACATCAAAGGTTTCATCTCTGGATCCCAAAAACAAATTCCATGTATACCTGGAGAAGTCATCAACAATCACAAACACATATATTTGACCTTCTCTGCTCCTTATTCTCATTGGTCCACATAGGTCCATGTGGAGGAGTTCCAGAGGTTTAGAAGTACTTACAAACTTTTTTAGATTTAAAGGACGACCTAACATTTTTCCCTCTAGCACATGCATCACATACCTTGTCAGAGGTGAACTCAACATTTAATACAAACGGGAAGAAGATTTTAATTTATTTTCTTATTAAAAATAATAATCATTATAATTATTAGTAGATTTATGACATATATTAAAAGAACTTTTCTGTTTAACATTTGAACTAATTCAACACCATCCATTTAGAAAACTAATACAATGATTGTCACGGTCCAAAATCTCACCCGACGTGATGGCGCCTATCTCAATACTAAGCAAGCCAACAATCCCAATAAACCACCATATCTTTTAAGTTTCAAAACTAACATCTAAATTTAACGGAAGAAAAACTCACAAATACATATATAAACACTCCCAAAACCCGGTGTCACTGAGTACATGAGCATCTAATATGAATACAAGTATGGAAAATACGGTCCATAATAGTCTGAGACCAAATATAGTAAATAAGGAGATAGGGAAGGAGAGGCAAGGTCTGCGAAACACGACAGCTACCTCTGAATCTCCAAAAAATCAACTGTGTGATAGAAATCAACACCCGCTATGGCTGGGAACACCTGAATCTGCACACGAAGTGCAGGGTGTAGTATGAGTACAACCAACTCAGTAAGTAACAATAATAAATAAGGAACTGAATATAGTGACGAGCTACACAATTATAGTTTATTTTCAGTAATTACAGTAAAGAATAGACATGCTTTCAAATCCAGCATTTTAAGTCAAATCAATTCTATACAGTTCAAGTTCATATATTCCGGATATAAAATCTTTAGAAAATTTTACAACAATGACAGATAGCAACTAAGTGCAACAACAAATGAAAAGCAAGTACAACCTCTCAGGACAACAATCACTCACTGGGCTCCCAGCCCTCAGCACTCACACTCAATGGGTACCCGCACTCACTGGGGTGTACAGTCTCCGGAGGGGCTCCTACAACCCAAGCGCTATAATCTGCACGGCTAACTCACGTGCTGCATGGACAACTCACGTGCCATAGTATCAATATCTGGATCAGCACGGCTGACTCACATGCTGCACGGACAACTCACGTGCTATAGTATCAATATCTGGATCCGCACGGACAACTCAGGTACTGCACGGACAACTCACGTGCTATAGTATCAATATCTGGATCCGCACGGACAACTCAGGTACTGCACGGACAACTCACGTGCTACAGTATCAATATCTTAAAATCAGGCCCTCGGCCTCACTCAATCATAAATTTCTACAATCTCTCGGGCTCTTAATAATCATGAAATCAGCCCAAACAACAATGATATGATGTATCAATAATGAACACTAGAGATTGAGATAAAATAAACAAGTTGTAACGACCCGGCCAGTCGTTTTGACTATTATAGCCCCCTTCCCATATTTACTGCTCAATTTATGCTCAATAGGTATTTTATGACTTACCGGATTAGTTGGTTCGGGTCCGGAAGGAATTCGGAGTGAAATGAGATACTAAGTCTCATAATTGAAAATTTATGTTAGAAAAGTTGACCGGATGGGGACTTATGGGTAAACGACCTCGGATTTGAATTTTAATAATTCCAATAGCTCCGTATGATGATTTTAGACTTAGGAGCGTGTCCGGAAAACTAATTTGAGGTCCGTAGTGGATTTAGGCTTGAAATAGCGAAAGTCGAACTTTTGGAAAGTTTGACCGGGGGGTTGACTTTTTTATATCGGGGTCGGAATCCGATTCTGGAAATTTGAATAGCTTCGTTATGTAATTTATGACTTGTGTGCAAAATTTGAAGTCATTCCGGATTGATTTGATG